TTCAGTTCTCACTTCTGTCTCACTAATGCATATACAGTACAAAAATCAAAAAGAATATATTATTTATTTTTTTATTATGCATCCAAATAAAATTGCTATGCTTCTAGAAACTGGTTGATGCTTTTTCTGTTGCATTTCTGCACCCTGTATGAATTCTGCATATATAGACCTGAAAACACTACTGAGTCTACATTGCGTACAAGTTAATAACAACGGAACTAAACTCCTGATTTAAACCCCCTGGACTACTACGTCTGGGGCGTCGTCGAGAGGGAGACCAACAAGCATGCCTATAATACCAAGGACTCGTTGAAGGCTGCCATCGGGGACATTATGGCAAACATAAATAAGAATCACCTGATCGACGCATGTAGTCGTTTCAGAAGCCGCATCGAGGACGTAATCGAGGTTGAAGGCGGTTTTATTGAATAGCCTTTTGTTATGTGTATGTAAGTACATGTGTACAAAATTCTATGAAAATATATTGGTTTTTTTACTGAATATTTTAGTTTTCCTCAAAGTCAAATTTTGTTCTCAAATAGCTCGCGCACCCTGTTCAATCAATGTTGACAGGAAACGTGGTTTCCATTTTAGCTGCGTTGACGAAATGACGTTGAATCAACGTTGATTCTACGTGAATGTGCAACTTGGGATCCGACAGTCGCGAAGACACGAAAGAAACTGCTCATTCGAGAGCGAGACGGAGATCCCAACCTGTGTAAGACATCCACGAACTCTGGGTCTGCCTAAGTTAAGCGTGTAGCGTTTTCGGATATTCACGAGTTCAGTAAGTGGCCTCATGAACGCTCTGCGCAGCAGCCGCTCTGACATTGTATGTCTTGCGAATCCCCCTCAATCTCATTCACGGGGTGTTCACGCCTACGGTACAGACTTTTATCGAGCGGCACTCCAATCCCGTATCGATCTCTATACGATACACTGGAGAAGCTAGATGGTTACTACGCAGCCGAAGGCATCTTTCCGATCCAAGCGTTCCTGTTTCATACAGGTGGGCTCCCGCCGTTTCCACTCACGGGAGCCACTCATCTTGTGAGAATGGCGATCAATAAAAGGACGGAGTTCTGATTGATAAAGGGATCGAGATCCTGATAAATATATGATCTGATGATGAAATACATGATGATGAGATCTCATCCCTGCAAATAAGTCATTTTTCCTTAAGAGATAAAAAAGGGAACTCCAAGTGTAATACGCGGGGATCTTTTACACGTCCCTGGTGAAAAGTCCGTATCGGGAGCGGGGTGTGTGCGTAGAATGCATCTCTCCCGTTGTAGAGTCATGGATGGCATGGGAAGGACCATCGTTCGGTGGTGTAGTGGAAAAGTACTTTTTCGCAAATGTGCTTGCCTCGGGATCGATTCCTAACCGTTCTATTATTTTCCTTCCGTCATGTCATCTGAACTCTTCCACCCCCCACCCATAGCTATTACGTTCCCAAGAATGGATCCGGCAGCAATGGCCAGAGGGAAAGTGCGAGCTCGAGAGAGCGACACAGAAATCCGGGGGGAAGAAGTCGACGCGCATGCGCACATAGCACTGCAGACGCTCAAGCATCCACAGCATATAGCTAATACTAACGAGTTTGTTTGCCCTTCGAGCAAACAAACTTGCTTTGGTCGCACTTTCGGCGCTCCATTACCTTGGATAGTGAATAATTCATTCATTTTCTGCGAAATGGGAAACACGTAAAGCGGGTTGCGAATGCGGGTTAAACTAGATGCGCACGGGATCCAGGGTAAGACGAAAGAGTGGATCTGTAGCTGGTTGGCAGGACGAGAGCAACTGGTGATGATAAATGGGGAAGCGTTGAAGGAGGTCGGAGTCGCAAGCGGTGTCCCTCAAGGCTCAGTCCTTGGACCGCTGATGTTTTTGGTCTACATAAACGATTTGGATCTCGGCGTAGTGGGTAAGATAAGTAAATTTGCCGACGACACCAGGATAGGTTTTACCATAAGGGGGGAAGCGGATAGGGCTCGAGCAGAGCGAGATTTAAGTCTTTTGGACGAGTGGAGCAAGAAATGGCTCATAAGGTTTAATAAAACTAAGTGTAAAGTTCTCCACGTCGGTCGAAACAACGGTAGGTCTCTCGACACGTTCGGCAATGTTAAATTGGATGAGGCAAACGGAGAGAGAGATTTAGGAGTTTCTATCATGAGGACATGAAGTTTTCCTCGCATTCGCAAGTGACGTTGGCCAAATGCAACAGGATTCTAGGTTACATTCGTCGGTCGGTTGCAAATAGGACATCTCGCGTTATTCTTCCGTTGTATGCGGCGTAAGTACGTAATATATGCTTTTTTCGAGTCTCGATTCTAGCTTTGAGGTCGCGTCTGTCGTCGTCTATTTACGCAATGAGGCCAACCTGCGTGGTATAGACCTTTACTCACAATGAACCCAGCGATCAATCGATTAATCGGCCGAGTAAATAGTATTGCATTCTGTATTAACGAGAACGTTTATTNACTTAAGTTGCGCAAACCGCAGCTGCGGCTCAGGTCGAAACAGGAATTCTTTACTTGCAGAGTGGTGAACGCGTGGAATGCATTAGATGACGAAGTAGTTTCTGCCCCTCGCTGTGACTATCTGTAAGAAGAAACTAGATTCTTTCATTGACAGGCAAAAAGGGGGGGGGGGCAATGGTTCTAGACAGTAAGCAACTAGGTTACGCAAATAGCAAAAAAAGTACAAAAATATATCGCTTTAAGAGGGTTAGGGCTACCCTAAAATTAAGGAACGCTCGACTTCGACACGTGACATCGAAATGGGCGAAATCGCCTCTTGATATCACTATCTTGAATCTTAAGTAATTTTCTTCCGTCCACCGTTTTCTAGCGCTTTTGAGAGTGCAGTTTTTTTGCTGACATGAGTAATTTATATATTTATTTCATCTTTGTTTCCCTGAAAAAGAACGAGCACACTTGGAAGTGTATGGGGGACGCATAGCTGAAAATTCAGATTTAGACACTCGACACGTTCCTTGGGTAAATTCCAGGTGACGTCCTTGAATGTTTCAAACTCTAGGAGAAAGAGCAAATATGAAGCTCTTCCTCATGTCTTGTGCGAACTATGGGCCAGAAAATGAATTCTTAATTATCTTCTCAGTTGCCATCACTCATATATTCCAGAATGTAATTAGAATTCGGTACTTTTTGCAGAATTATTGTGGGGAAAAATAACAAAAGCAAATTAGAAACATTTTAATACAATAAACTGATAACCGCATCTGTTTTTTTTTTGTTTTTCTCTTGATATCATGCAGATGATTCGCCGATGGGAAAGGGAGTCGTGGATCTCCAAAAATTCTCCAAATAGAAAAGGAGTTTCGCGAACGAGTTTCCGCCGAAAAGGAGTTTCCGCCCTTCCTTAGTATCAGTACGCAAACGACGTACTGATACTAAGGAAGGGCGGAAAGAGTAATACGGGAAGTTATCCGCAGGTAGGTCCAACTTGTATTTCACGGAAAACAGTAGACCAGAGAGAGTGTGAAAGCGGGACTGCTTCCAACTTTTTTTTTTTACAGCCGATGACTGAATCCCTCTCGACAGGGGAATTCAGTCATCGGCGTCGCGACTGCGGTAATATGGTCATCGTACATCATCCACGAAAATGAGGAAATCAAAAGATTCAGATCACTGTCACCTAAGCTTTTAATGTGGCGTGGTTCGCACGTGGCGGAGTAAAAAGTTGAGAATTCCATGTAGACGACATTTATCCTTAAAGCTAGAAGATTCTCGTTTTGATATCGTAAATCAGAGAGCAGATGGTTATGGTGCAAAAGTCTGACACGACCGTGTGAGCTAACACATCATCTCATAAAGCCTTCGCGACGTTTGAGTTGCGGGAGATTTAAGAAGCAAGGAAGCGAGGAACGAAAAGGGGAGAAGAAAATGCTCAGGATGAAAATTAGGAAGGAAAATGAAGGGAGATGATGAAGCAGCAGAAGGCAATCGAGGAGTTCACTAAAGGAGCATGCGACTCGATTGGAAACAAAAACAGAACTGCGGAAGTTGAGGATGAAAGTGACTCCCCACGGACTCGATGAGTCGGTCAAAGCGGACTAATAAGCGAAGGATGACTTCGAAGAGGCGCCGGGAGCGAGAAAGTGAGAGCTGGAAGAATGGCACTTTCCCGGGGAACAGAGAGAAGAGCAGACAGAACCGGTGGTGGAGGAGGAGGCTCATCCCAATCGTGGCAGAGGGAAGAAAGAGAACATCTCAAAAATATTCATAATGACGATTTAGGAATAGGAGGAGCACGCGACGCGAACCAGGAACGACGGTCCGCCAAAGCAGCGGAAATGGATCCGAGAAGACAGCGAAGACGGGACAGGCGGAGCACTTGAAAAGGTCACAGAGTACGTGTGCCTCGATCACAAGCATCTTGGCACAGTACATCATCCCCAGGTTGTAAAAGGTGCAGGATAGGGATAGAAACCTAGGAGCTCCTGATTACTTTCAGCCTCCAAATGATGAGGGCAAAATGTCAAACTGAGCTTTCTTGCATTTTCAAAAGATGCTGCTAGAAAATACACATTCATTTATTATTATTTAATGAAGAATGGCATTGTTAACTTGGACGAACCAGCGCTACTGCTTTGGATGCAATTAATTTCAAGGACCATCTTCGTGCCCAGAGCTGTTTCAACGACAAAAAGAGTACATTCCTTTCCAGTCTCCTCGGATTTCAAATTCACTTGAATGATCAAAATTTTGCTCCGGACTCGAAACAGCAATTTCATGGAAGTATCATTCAGGAAACAATTTGGGATTTCAGAAAAAAAGCCACATTTTCCACAGTTTTTCTAACTGCAGAATCCTGTCCACGACAGAATGAAACGAGAAATTCCAGCTGTCGAAGAAAACTTCTTCTTTTGACTCGACTCGCTAAAAAAAAATAGAAAAGAAGTTGTCAACATTTTCATGGATGAAAATTATCCATGAAAATTATCTCCGGTTTCTAGATTGGTTCATCCCTTAAAGATGAGGTATGAACCTCCCCATTTTAACTCTTCTTGTGATTTCATGGCAAACTGCTCCTTTTGCCCATCGAGGATGTTATACTAGGAACATTTTCTGATGTCTGAGAAGACTCTTAATTATCCAACGTAAAAATTGTAAGTATTCTCCTAAGAAATACAAAGTGGAAAGAATGACTCGGAAATCCCCAGGAAAGGAAAGCACATCTGCAGGAGCTATCCTTCATCGCGATGAATGCAGGGATGATGCAAAGGAACGTCAGAATATTCTGGGATGTTTAACTCCGTAAAGCGCCCAGTCGGCACAACAACGTCGTGTCACCGTTGAGAATAGGTTGAAACGTTCACACTTGGTTAAATTTAGCGTTTTCAGCACATAGCGTTTACTTGTGAACTAACGAAATCGTTTAGAGGCTATTAAACGGAAATTCATTTCTAATCATAATATTCAACGTAGCTTAAACGTCGAGTTTTTTCCATTCAACCATTCAACCTACTATATATAAACACCCTTTCAGGCACTGAATGAAGGAGCAAGTACTGTAATATCCAAACGTTGTCAATTCAACGTGCAACCAACGTTGAACTATGTTTCATTTCGACGTTGTTTCGACGTGGGAGCAACCATTTCTGCAACATTGAGGAATCTTTGTCAACATTCATTCAATGTTTACCACAACGTTGTTGTGCCGACTGGGTGCTATCGGACACGATTTTATTTACTTTCCCTCGACAAACTCATCCATAACTCGAGATGTCTTGGGTATCCCGAGGTCATTTTTGGCAGGTCGACTCTTCCTCAATAAACTCGTCCGTGGGCCAAATTTCATCGAAAAACCAGTACTTTCTCTAAATGACGTCATACTTATTTAGATCGACGTAATCGCTAAATCGTAATTTTTTTTTAGGGATTTGAAACAAATCTGAAAGTCGGATAGGGCTGGAACGGAACTTTCGGAAGAACTTTCTCTGGTCCAAGATGATTTTTATTTTCCTAGGGAGAATTTCTTGGAAACATGTGCTTCGTCGCCATGTTAGACTGCCTTATCCATTTCTTCCCTGGCAGAGTTTTATCCTTTGGATATGAATTATTTAGTTGCTCACCACAGTTATCTTATCGAACTAATTTTATTATGTGATTCCTGACGAAAAGAACATTCTTCCCTCGGTCGAACGAAACAGCTCTCCAATAGTTCCACGTTCGTCGAGTGGCAGTGGGATATCAGGAAGAGGAGGGTGAATGAAACTTTCCAAGCATTGCGGGAATTTTTTTTGTTGCTCAAGCTGTTTTCTTGCAGCAGCCAAATGTTCATGAAGTGGAAGACTTTTCTGGTTGGACTCATTAGAATGAGAGGGAAGTCCACCCTGAAACAGACACACGGATGCTCGAAATCGACTTCGTCCAGGATATTCAACGTCTTGTATCGCCTCCTACTCCTTGCATCCGTGTGCTATTTCGTTTGGGCGTGGCGAGCGAGCGAGGAGGAGGTGTTGGAGTCTGCAAAAGCGAACGTGGAAAGAAGAAAGGAGAACCGTAAGGTCATCCTTCTCTACGATCCCCTCTACGGGTCCTGGGAAGCCTGGAAGCGTGGGTGGAGATGGACCGAAGATCAGCGCTGCCACGGGCCGGACGGGAAACTCACCATACGTTGCATCGTTCACTTTGGGAACCGCTCGGCCCTGTCGGAAGCCGATCTCGTCATCTTTTCCTGGTTCGGAAGAGACCGAAGTCCGGGTACTCCGGTACCCAGGAAAAGGGACGGTCAGATTTGGGCTCTGGCCTCGATGGAGCCCCCCATCCCGAGGCCGGAACTGAAGATGCCCATCGACTGGGTCATCACGTACGAATCGGATGCCGACGTCAGCGTGCTGTACGGAAGAATCACAAAAAGGTCGGTCGCCGTTCCTCATTCCATCGGATATTCACCTGCGAGGAATTCCAGTGCGGCACTCGTTAGTCACTGTGGTGCGAGTAGTAAACGAGACGATCTCATCCGAAATCTGCAGAAAGAGAACGTCTCCATCGACGTGTACGGAAAATGCGGAAACAGGAAATTACCCGGTTATTTCTCTGAAGGATACGAATATTTGAGTAAGAGGTACAAATTTTTCTTCGGGTTCGAAAATTCCATCTGCAAGGATTACGTGACGGAGAAGTTGTACAGGGCGCTTCAGTTCCCTTGGATTCCCGTGGTTTTGGGTGGTGCGAATTACTCGTCGATCGCGCCACCGAAATCCTGTATCGACGTGATGGAATTCCCGTCGGTTCGAAGCCTGGCGGATCACCTCAAGTACCTGGATGGGAACGAATCTGCGTACCGGGAGTATTTCCTGTGGAAGTCCCACCACGTTGTGGAATTCGGGACGGACCGCGCGTGCGACGTGTGCAGGCACCTTCACGCGGCGGATCCGCCGATGGGAAGGGAAGTCGTGGATCTCCAAAAATTCTCCAAACAGAAAAGGTGTTTCTTTCCAAATTCTTCTCGAGGGATTTTTAATTCCAGTTTCAATATCCAATCGTAAATACACCTTTGCTTTTCCTGTATCTCTCTTTCTGTGCCTATTANTTATTAGAGACTAGGTATTGACCCACTGGGTGTCAGATTCTATCGTCTGAAGCGCCTCTATCCTTCTCTCCGGAGACATGCTGTCAGGCACCAATCAAGTCCACCATCGGTCAAGTGCACCAGTCATTCTTGAACGGTGAATCATTCATCGATGCAATCAGCAAAGCCAATTATGTTTTTGCGTGTTCTTATATCCAAAATATACTTATCGAAATTCTATAATTAATGCGCAAATTGACTCATACATATACGAATTTTCTTTGCAACTTGCAAGCCAGTTGAAATTCAAGGTAATGAATCCCCAGGCGAGGTTTCTAGACAATTGTCTCGCGCCAGCAGCAAGGGTTTTACGGCCAATTGGAAGATACGGTTAGCTCGAGATGGGTTTCTGGACAATTGTCACGCATACAAAACTTGAGTTTCTTACCAAATGTCACCAAGGACATGTCCTCTCCGCCATCATAGAAGTAAGATGCAATACGGACATGAACTTCGGTCACTTTGTCATGAGAAACGGACAGAAAGGGAACGTCATATGTTGTTGGGGATAAGAAATGATGGGAGAATGGTTCAGTGGAACTCTGGTCGCAGTCAAGGGTTGCAACGTCCACAAGCGGCCATGGTTAACTGATATCAGACAAAGGAATCAAGAATGTTAGTCCAATAGGCAAACTGAAATATTCAATTCTAAAGTGGAACCCCTTCAACGTTGAACTATGTTTCATTTCGACGTTGCTTCAACGTGGGAGCAACCATTTCTGCAACATTGAGGAATCTTTGTCAACATTCATTCAACGTTTACCACAACGTTGTTGTGCCGACTGGGTGCTATCGGACACGATTTTATTTACTTTTCCTCGACAAACTCATCCATAACTCCAGATGTCTTGGATATCCCGAGGTCATTTTTGGCAGGTCGACTCTTCCTCAATAAACTCGTCCGTGGGCCAAATTTCATCGAAAATCCAGTACTTTCTCTAAATGACCTCATACTTATTTGGATCGACGTAATCGCTAAATCGTAATTTTTTTTTAGGGATTTGAAACAAATCTGAAAGTCGGATAGGGCTGGAACGGAACTTTCGGAAGAACTTTCTCTGGTCCAAGATGATTTTTATTTTCCTAGGGAGAATTTCTCAGAAACATGTGCTTCGTCTCCATGTTAGACTGCCTTATCCATTTCTTCCCTGGCAGAGTTTTATCCTTTGGATATGAATTATTTATTTGCTCACCACAGTTATCTAATCGAACTAATTTTATTAAATGATTCCTGACGAAAAGAACATTCTTCCCTCGGTCGAACGAAACAGAAGCTCTCCAATAGTTCCACGTTCGTCGAGTGGCAGTGGGATATCAGGAAGAGGAGGGTGAATGAAACTTTCCAAGCATTGCGGGAATTTTTTTTGTTGCTCAAGCTCTTTTCTTGCAGCAGCCAAATGTTCATGAAGTGGAAGACTTTTCTGGTTGGACTCATTAGAATGAGAGGGAAGTCCACCCTGAAACAGACACACGGATGCTCGAAATCGACTTCGTCCAGGATATTCAACGTCTTGTATCGCCTCCTACTCCTTGCATCCGTGTGCTATTTCGTTTGGGCGTGGCTCGCGAGCGAGGAGGAGGTGTTGGAGTCAGCAAAAGCGAACGTGGAAAGAAGAAAGGAGAACCGTAAGGTCATCCTTCTCTACGATCCCCTCTACGGGTCCTGGGAAGCCTGGAAGCGTGGGTGGAGATGGACCGAAGATCAGCGCTGCCACGGGCCGGACGGGAAACTCACCATACGTTGCATCGTTCACTTTGGGAACCGCTCGGCCCTGTCGGAAGCCGATCTCGTCATCTTTTCCTGGTTCGGAAGAGACCGAAGTCCGGGTTCTCCGGTACCCAGGAAAAGGGACGCTCAGATTTGGGCTCNGTACCCAGGAAAAGGGACGCTCAGATTTGGGCTCTGGCCTCGATGGAGCCCCCCATCGCCAGACCGGAACTGAAGATGCCCATCGACTGGGTCATCACGTACGAATCGGATGCCGACGTCAGCGTGCAGTACGGAAGAATCACCGAAAGGTCGGTCGCCGTTCCTCATTCCATCGGATATTCACCTGCGAGGAATTGCAGTGTGGCACTCGTTAGTCACTGCGGTGCGAGTAGTAGACGAGACGATCTCATCCGAAATCTGCAGAAAGAGAACGTCTCCATCGACGTGTACGGAAAATGCGGAGAGAAGAAATTGCCCGGTTATTTCTCTGAAGGATACGAATATTTGAGCAAGAGGTACACATTTTTCTTCGGGTTCGAAAATTCCATCTGCAAGGATTACGTGACGGAGAAGTTGTTCAGGGCGCTTCAGTTCCCTTGGATTCCCGTGGTTTTGGGTGGTGCGAATTACTCGTCGATCGCGCCACCGAAATCCTGTATCGACGTGATGGAATTCCCGTCGGTTCGAAGCCTGGCGGATCACCTCAAGTACCTGGACGGGAACGAATCCGCGTACCGGGAGTATTTCCTGTGGAAGTCCGAGCACGAAGTGGAATTCGGGAAGGACAGCGCGTGCGACGTGTGCAGGCACCTTCACGCGGCGGATCCGCCGATGGGAAGGGGAGTCGTGGATCTCCAAAAATTCGCCAAACAGAAAAGGTGTTTCTTTCCAAATTCTTCTCGAGGGATTTTTAATTCCAGTTTCAATATCCAATCGTAAATACACCGTTGGTTTTATCTCTCTTTCTGTGCCTATTAACTCTTGAAATCCGATTTTTCTCTCTTTTTTCTTCTTCACGTGTTTGAAAATTTCCACTTCGTATTTCGTTCCCAATAAATGGATGATTCTCATTTCTTTTGGTGAATCTGTTTTTGTGGGTTCAATCAATGTCATCCGAGGCTGAAACCGTCTTCCTTGACCACTGATAAATTCCCTGACTGCCGGTCTCCCTTTTTTTAACACCGACCCTGGGGATGGAGATTTTCGAACCTGTCGTGAAATGTCGCTTTTTAAAGTTATAGGGGGGGGAGGGTGAATTTTCGCAGTAAATCTTGCACGAAAAACCAATATGAATTAAAAGCTGCCATCGTTTGAGCAGACATACTAACTGGACCCAGACCTGGACCCAGAACAAGATTTTTTCGTCCAAAAAGCAGTTTCGTAATATCTTGAAATCATACAATAATGAAAATGTGTGAAACATCAGTGTATCGTCCTATTACTGCAAAATCTTGTCGCATGCCAGATAGACTTGTCAGAGTAAGACCAAAAAATGCAAAGTATGCAGAGTTCGTAGCTCGGAAGAGCGACTTGGGACGCTATCGAGGAGGTTCATTAGCTTTGTGGAGATGAGAGGGATCAGGAAGGTGGTGGGAGGGATTCAGTGAGATGACTTAGTGGCAATGCTAGACAGGGTGGTGGAAGCACTCGATGTGATCCTGGCCTGAGTCATCAAAGAACTAGTAAGTGAAATATCGGTTCCGCTTTGAATTATATTTGGAAAGCAGCTTTTCGCGCGTATTAGTACCTAAGGACTGCAGGCTAGCGAACGGCGTGCTGATACTAAAGAAGCGCGGAAAGAGTGATACGGGAAGTTATCGGCCGGTAGGTCCAACTTGTATTTCACGGAAAACAGTAGACCAGAGAGAGTGTGAAAGCGGGACTGCTTCCAACTTTTTTTTTTTTTTTACAGCCGATGACTGAATCCCTCTCGACAGGGGGATTCAGTCATCGGCGTCGCGACTGCAGTAATATGTTCCTCGTACATCATCCACGAAAATGAGGAAATCAAAAGATCCAGATCACTTTCACCTAAGCTTTTAATGTGGCGTGGTTCACACGTGGCGGAGTAAAAAGTTGAGAATTGCATGTAGACGACATTTATCCTTAAAGCTAGAAGATTCTCGTTTTGATATCGTAAATCAGAGAGCAGATGGTAATGGTGCAAAAGTTTGACACGACCGTGTGAGCTAACACATCATCTCATAAAGCCTTCGCGACGTTTGAGTTGCGGGAGATTTAAGAAGCAAGGAAGCGAGGAAGGAAAAGGGGAGAATCAAATGCTCAGGATGAAAATTAGGAAGGAAAATGAAGGGAGATGATGAAGCAGCAGAAGGCAATCGAGGAGTTCACTAAAGGAGCATGCGACTCGATTGGAAACAAAAACAGAACTGCGGAAGTTGAGAAAATGCTCAGGATGAAAATTAGGAAGGAAAATGAAGGGAGATGATGAAGCAGCAGAAGGCAATCGAGGAGTTCACTAAAGGAGCATGCGACTCGATTGGAAACAAAAACAGATGACGCCTTCAACTCCTACTTTCACTGAGGGGTGCCTGAGCTACTCAGCCAGTTTCGCCTGATTATTCGCTTCCTACTGAAGCTTCTCCGCGGCCCTCGCTCTTTCACTCTCGACCTTCTTACCGTGCTTCTCGGGGAACAGAGAGAAGAGCAGACAGAACCGAGAAGACAGCGAAGACGGGACAGGCGGATCACTTGAAAAGGTCACAGAGTACGTGTGCCTCGATCACAAGTATCTTGGCACAGTACATCATCCCCAGGATGTAAAAGGTGCAGGATAGGGATAGAAACCTAGGAGCTCCTGATTACTTTCAGCCTCCAAATGGTGAGGGCAAAAAGTCAAACTGAGCTTTCTTGCATTTTTAAAAGATGCTGCTAGAAAATACACATTCATTTATTATTGTTTAATGAAGAATGGCATTGTTAACTTGGACGAACCAGCGCTACTGCTTTGGATGCAATTAATTTCAAGGACCATCTTCGTGCCCAGAGCTGTTTCAACGACAAAAAGAGTACATTCCTTTCCAGTC